GGGTTTTGTAAAAAGTATTTGGATTAACTTATAGCGGTACCAAAAGCAATAAGCTGATAAGTTGTTTTTTAGTGTTTGACAAATTTTGCTTATATATGTAAAATGACCAAAAAAGACAGTCTTCCATATAATAATATTTTTTATTATTAACTTATTTGATTTTTTAACATGTAAAAAATTAAATTTCATCATTTATAATAATATTTTTGACAAAAAAGTTATATCAATAAGATTAATAATTAACAAACATTAATAAAACATGGTTAAAATGGTAAACTGGTAATAAACAATTTTTCATAAGTCAGAAATGATTAACTTATCAAAAACTGTTTATTACCGGTTTGACACCGATATAAGCAGTTTTATTTTTCTTCATCCAAACATTAGCATTTAGTTTATCACCGGTGCCAAACTGAAATAAGCAATCCCAAACACCCCCTAAGTCTTGTATATCAATCTTTTATTATATCAAACTTTGTAATTTGTTCAAAATCATTAAAAAAATATGTAAAAATATTGATTATCATAATGAGGTGTATTATGAGAATTGTTTGTCATAATGAATATCAATTTATCTCCTACATATATTATCATAAAATATTTATGTTCACCAGATAAACGTTGTATTCGGGGACAGACCCATAAATTTTTTCAAACAGTGGCACCATTTGACCATAAGGAAAAAAAATATTGGGAAAGTTTTCAAACGGTGACAATTTGACTAAGAAAATGACACTAACAAAATTCGAACTTGGGTGTGGGGTGGAATAAAAGCCTTGCAAACCAACTCTATTAAATAAAACTTGTTTTCATTGTAGTTTCAAAATGCATACGATGACACACAACAAATTAATACAGTTGCACCGTTTACGAAACCTAATTTTTTTACCCTTCGGCAGAGAAATAATACGGTGGCACGTGCCACCTATACCACAAGCTTGGGTTCGTCCATGGTTGTATTGCAACATACTTTGATATAATTGTTGAATATTTTTGCAATTTGCTTATATTAGTCATAATATACTCATTTGCAACAATAGCTAAAAACCTCTTTGAAACCCCTATTTTTCTACATATGATTGCACAAAGTGGAACAATAATAACTAGTATTATGACCATTCCAGATACATAGGAGTCTGATTGATTTGTTATTTTTTCATTTGACTTGTTCAAACTTTTTAGATTTGTTTTAGACAGTTCGTAGTTTTGTTTCTCTATGAAAATTCTTGAAAAAAGAGGTTTTAATAAAATTATGTATAATAAGATATATGTATTATATTGATTCTAAGGTTAATTATATATAAAGTTAGATTTTAGCTTAAATAAAAAATTGATTTAATATATATATATATATATATATATATATATATATATGTGAGTTATTATGTAACCATTTACATTTGTACAACCAATACAACTCAATCTCAACCGTTCATTTAATTTGATGAATATGTGATTTAATAAAAGCTTTGATTGTTTTCTAATATAAAGTATTGATCAAAATTAATGAATCCTAACCATCTTTCGTAAATATTCAAATTCATAATAAATGAACTCTCATCATTTCCATAAATATCTCAATTGATTGAGTTGCATTGGTTGTACAAATGTGATGAGTTGCATTTGAAACGTTCTCTCTCTCTCTCTCTCTCTCTATATATATATATATATATATATATATATATAAACTGTAATTTAACGATTACATACTATGAATCCAAGTGAACACACAATTTGAAAAAACACGAATCATTTTATATGAAGAATTTAGATGAAGATTGAAGATGACGACGTGCTTTTAAGATGTAAACCTAATATAAATTTGGTATTAAAAAATAATAATTATTTTTTTATTGAAAAATACCGGGTACCCGGCGGGTAACGGTTCCGAAAAATTGAGAACCGGAACCGGAACCGGAACCATTCTCAATCGGTTCCATATTTTAGGAACCGAAACCGGAACCACTCATATCGGTTCCGGTTCTAGATCCGGCGGTTCCAAGGCGGTTCCAGTTCTATAGCCGGGTACCCGGTTCCGCTGCTCACCCCTAAGTAACTATACTATCGTTTTAAATAATATATATATAGAGTGTTGTGTAACTAATATAATCAACAATGATCATAAGGTATTATAAGCGTTATTTTCATTTATTTAATTATATTAATTGGTAACCCCTTTAAGCATTTGTTAGATACGCGGACAAATCAAACTTGATCGTGAATTTCATTTTGATTGTGCGTTAATTGTCAAATTCGGTTAAGGTACGAATTTCATATCTTTCTTGACATGGGGATAACCATTTGTATAAGGCTTCCTAATCCGAATATATTGATTTCAAATTCTCGTTGTGTTCATCAATTGCTATTGAGCTTTTGTTTCCTTTCAAATTATAATGTACATTTTTTTATTTGGCACATGAATCATTTTGATCACTTGACTTGTTAGCTTGCTTCATTTGTGAAACATTTTACTATAGACTCAATATTGGGGGCACCAATATTGAGATCTTTCCATGGTGGCTAAAACGATCATGGGTCCTTGGTTTTTAGTCCTTAAAGGTGGACTTGATTATGTACCGGTCAAATAGAAGGCGTATGAATTGATCATAGGAATCGTTATCGAATAATAAATAGTGACCATGGTTAAATCCACAAAGAGGATTGTTGTATTGTGCTCGCACCCCTTTCCTCACTTATACCTGAACGAACTGATTATCCTTTGGGAACAACGCGTCCTCGAGATGCGGTTTGGTCTTTGGACCCTTGACATGCCTTCGGGGTATTTTGACTTTATAATCAATTTACTATTATTTAGATACATATATAAATATACATATTATTATATTCAAGTGTCATGTAAGCAGAATTATATATATTAAAATCGTAATTTCATTTATATAAGTGAGTTTTAAATATAGTGATTATATATATATATATATATATTCATTAATTATTATGTAAATAAGAAATTAGAGTTATATGAAATAAACGAAATAAACGAAATAAAGAAATTTGAGTGTAAATAAAGAAAATGAATAGTCTAATTAATTTAATGTTTGATAATAATTACATCAATAAAAAAGAAAAAAAATAAAACTATACATATTATTTTATTCAAATCTCATGTAAATTTATCTATATTATATTATAAAACAATTGTTAAGAACTCTTAAAAATCATTTGTATGCATAAAATATTGTTTATTGATACATATTACTTAAAATTTAAGATTACAATTAAATTATGCATAAGTACAACTTAATTAATCAAAAAATAAATTATTCGTTATTAAGTTTAAATTAAATTATAATAAAAATTGAATTAAATAAATCATAAAAAATGATGATTTTTAAATAGTTAATTTGATACTAATATCTATATATATATATTTTTTCAAAATTTTAAGACATCTTCAAGTTTATATTTTATTTAAAAATAAAAATGTTATCGCTTCCCAAAAAAACCATATAAAACCGTTTTATTAACATCGACATAAACAAAGAATAAGACAAAACATTAAAATCAAGATGTATATCGCTGCATTGCACGAGTACCTTTCTAGTATATATATATATATATATATATATATATATGTGTGTGTGTGTGTTATCAAATGAGAACTAATTAGTTTGTGCTAACTGTGAGATCCAACGTGAGCCAACCATTTAAGATAATTAATATTTTTATTAAAATAAAATATAAGGGTAAATTAGTAATTTGAGTCGATTATTCAATTTACTTTAATTAGTTTAATATTACAATTTATTTTAATTAGATTAATTACTTTATGGATTACTTTAATTAGATTAATTACTCTATTTTGGGTTCATATTGCTCATGGTGTGCATCGCAGTAGTATCTAATTCTCCCTTTAATGATTCCCCCCCCCCCCACCACACACGCACGCACGCACGCACGCGCACACACACACACACACACATATATATATATATATAGTGTACCCGCGCAATGTGGCGGGAGCTGTAAATGTAAACAATTTTGAAGCTTTGGTGGTTTTGTTTTAAGAGATTTTAAGGATGATATATTTTACACTTAGGAGGTCGTTTACCTAAATGTTTACCGCTAAGATTTAACAATATACCTTACTTTACTGGGTAAGATTGTAGTCCATCAAAATGGTATCATATGTAACAATTTACCAGGTAAGCGTTTACCGAGTAAAACCCTCCATCTTTACCGAGTCGTCACTCTCACTTACCAAGTAAGAATCTACGTCTATATCGTCACTTTTACTGGGTAAGACTCTTCATTTTTTTCATCACTCTTATCAGATAAAACTCTCTATCTTTATCACTCTTATCGGGTAAGATTATCGGTCCTTGTAATGTTCATTCGGTAAGGTAAATGATATGGTAAATGCTTATCAGGTAAACGTTTAGTAAATGAACCCTTAGTATTAATACATTTTCAATAAATAAGAGCTATAGTTCTAATTGCAGCCGATTGACGAAAAATTGTTAAAATAAAAAAATTATTTAAACAAATCCAATCTAATCTAATTACTATTAAAGTACAAAAAGAACTTATTTTATGTAATATTTGTATTTTGCATCTTGGTGTATAAAAATGGTTGAAATTATTCGGTGATTGATCAAAATATTGGATAAAACCAAACCAATTTAATCCTTCATTGTTACTGATCGACTGTGTAAATCTAGTTGCATTATGTTGATTATAAAAATTCGTATACAATAAACAACTAAATTAGATCAACTAATCTAAGGGGTGGTCTTTTTGTTTTTTTATTGAATTGAAAAAGAATTACAAAAAAGAAATGGACATACCCATTTTTACAAGATCAAAAATGAAAGCATCTTCCTAAAAAATGTATAGGAAATACAATTAATAGAGGCCTATTCAAGATGCCACTATTTTCAAAACCAATCCATTTCAACGGGGGACCAGCCCAAGACACCATCATTGTGGTTTTGGAGTCTACTTGGCAAGTTGAAACCCAAGCCAAATGTTAGCCAGTTTAATTTCCTCAAAACAGAAATCCAAGCCATGTCATTATGGTAAAAAGCCATTGTCCATACACTTGTATATCAGTAGCCAGAGATTCAAAGATTATATTTTCCCTTTTAGCTTTACAACTTCCAAAGTCCAACCAGATACTAAACTTCCGAAGAAATTGTAGCATTCTTCCTGTTAACTTTGCTACCAGTTTGGGCATAAAGCAGAGTTTAAGCATATTGGAACCTATAGAGTCAGACCAGTCCCAAAAGCCATGTAGTCCTCCACAAACCAGAAACCAAGATTATAAAAAAATGCAAGAGAAAAGAGGATATCATCTGAACAAGGCCTTTTGCATATTCTATACATTAATTCTTAAATTAAAAAGATTGTAGTATATTATAAAAGATATTGTATGCAACAATTTACCCGGATAAGAGTCGTCACCCTCACTTACCGAGTAAGACTCTCTATCTTTATCATTGCTCTTATCGGGTAAGATTTTTGACCCTCACCATATTCATTCGGTAAAGAAAATTACCCGGTAAACACTTACCAGGCAAGCATTTAGTAAACGGCCCCTAATTCCTTTTCATGAGTTTCAAACATTATCAACTTGTGATCCTGAGATATCTACACTAATTGCTACCAGAATGAAGGAATTTCATAACCTTAATATGCTTGGCTCCAAGAATGTGTTGTTATGGCCAAGAATGAGGTATTCTTCTTTCTTGATATAAACAACTTACAAAATTTAATAATAGTATTTGGCCGACCATTTAACATGCCTGAAGCATAAACACGATCCGCTCCACTGGCATTACAGGCCAGTCTTCCAACCTAGGAATATGAGTGATACCGAATACATACCTGCAATTTTCAATATATATATATATATATAATGTTTGATAAGCATTTGCCGTCAAATGGATCAGTAAACGTGACCGGAAATTTACTCACCAGAGGACGATATCGGTTTCTTCAAGAGATCGATTTTGCTGGACCCATGAGGCTAGACCTTCGCCAACCCTTGGATTTTGATTAGGGAACTCTCCTCCAGGAAAAGCCTCACCCGATTGCATAAGATGTAACCCACATATTATGCTTCAGAAAAGCAGCCCTTCTCAAAAACTTGGCTTCCGAATCTGCCAAAGGCAAGCAGTTGGAACCAGGTGCCAGCTTGTACCAGTCAATAATTTAAGATAATCCACCACAAAATAATTTAAGCAATGTTCACTTATGTGTAATAAAAATGACTATTTTAACGAAAACATTGACGTTCTTAAAAGGAACAACAAAATAGGCTGCTTCCAATCCAATGGCGAGCAGATAATGGATTACAATCCCGCATTGCTTGAGATTCAAATTTAAGAAGTGTTTCTTGTGTGTAAAATGTTGAGTTTCCAAAATACTATTTTAACATAATGAAATATACAATCCTCGGTGGCAGTACATGCATACCTGGTTGTATGCTTCTCCAGCCTTGCAATAACTGTCATGTCCATTCGAGCAACAAAAAAGTGTTGATGAACTGGTGCATATAGCCCTGGTGCGATGGTAGTGCCACATTAAATGGAGAAAAAGTATTCTACCTATTGATAAAAGACAAAACCTGATTAATTATGGGTATTTTGGCTATTTAATTGAGACCTAACTTTTGTAACAGAATCCTCGACTAAACCCAATCGAGGGGATGCTCAAAAACCCTAAACCACATTCAGGTTCGTAATAAAACAAGGTCAAAAATCCTAAAATCATATTCGTAATAAAACCTAAAATAAGATTTGTAATACCTAATGTAGATCGATTTGAAACCGGTGAATGGATGGAAGGTTTGCTCAGATCGATTTGAAGTCGACAGTTGTTGTGGTTCACCAAAGACCTGCAAATAATGGAAGGTGTGGTGAAAATGCAAAATTGAAAATTCAAACAAAAAGAGTGGTGAAACGGGAACAAACAGAGAGTGAGTAGTCGTATTAGGAGCGTGAAACATGATTTCAACCCCATTAAAATTCCACCTTAGGGTGTTGAACGATTTGAGGAGGGATGAGATTTATAATATGTTGTTTATTCCATGTTTGGTGTGTGTAGATAATGGATCTGGTAATAGATTGTCTTAGAAGAAAAGAAAGTGTTAATCTCTCGAGGGCATCAATCCTTCCATTGAAAACTGAAAAGGCACCTCGAGTTCTACATTATGAGGGATATATGATGATAAATCTTGAGGAGGTAGTTTGTAGGAGAAGATGGATTTGAATCCGGCAAGATGAGTTATTGGGGAATGAAAAGACAACAAAAGGGAAAGCAGTATTGGGGAGAGGGAAATAAAAAGGTGCATTGATAGAGTAAATCTGAAGTTGTACATATCGCTTCTTGACTTGTAATTAAAACTTTTAAGACTCTATATATAAAAAAGTAGTTTCTTATGCATCAAAACTTGTTTTTAAGACTTTTATAGATAGATAAGGGTATCTTGGTTATTTAGAATTTTAAGACTTTTACTAAATTTGTTTAATAAGGTAATATATATATATATATATATATATATACACACAACGTAGGTATCATAGTGGTACTATAGTTGATATCACAATGGTACTACAGTTGGTATCATAGTGGTCTCAAAGTTTACTTGGTGTTTTTTGGATATCACATTGTATGTATTTTGGGTATCACATTGTATGTATTTTGGGTATCACATTGTGTATCTTGGTGTATTTTGAGTATCACATGGTGTTCGCCGAAATAAGGTTTACCAGAGGCCAGAAGCAGGAGAGAGAGAGATAGAGGAGAGATAAAAAAAATTATTAAAAATTTAAGTCAAATTACCAAAAAATATTAGTTTCCTAATTTATCCATTGATTTGTGGTTGAGATTGGATCTCACAGTTCTCTCTCTCTCTCTATATATATATATATATATATAGAGAGAGAGAGAGAGAGAGACTCTCTATATATATATAGAGAGAGAGAGAAAGAGAGAGCTAAGTTCTTTTGTTAACTCAATTTTTAGTGTTAACTATGTTAACCTAGTTGGACCAATAAGATTCATTGTTTGTGGTATGTTTCAATAAGATATTGATTATGAGATGAATGACATAAAGGTAAATTATACATATATGTAAGTTAGGTTTTGTATTAATTAATGAGTGGTTACAATTTAATTGTTGCTTGATTGTTGGGATTATGATCAATTATTCATATTACACAATGTATTATCATTAAATAACGAATCTTGATGAAATTGTCAATCTGAATGAAAGTTAACAAATGAACTCACCTCTATATATTGGGGTAAGATCTTTTGTTAACCAAGAATATAGTGTTAACTTTGTGAACTTATTGGACTAATAAGATTCATTATTTAGTAGATGTTACTTCAAATTTTTGATTTAATGATGAAGGCTAAATAGGTAATTTTTATGTGTAAGTTACTTTAATGGTATTAAATGAGATGTTACAATTTTTTATGTGTAAGTTACTTTTATGATATTTAATGATATTCATAGGTGTTCATAACCGTAAGATATTCATAAGAAAGTGCTCATATGTGTTCATAAAAATATGTTTATAACCATAAGGCGTTCATAAGATTGTGTCATAACCATAAAGCGTTCATAAGATTGTGTTCATAACCATATGGTGTTCATAGGTATTCAAGATCTTTTGTTAACCATATGGTGTTCATAACCACATGGCGTTCATAGGTGTTTATAGACCAATCAAAAGATCTTTATACTTAATGTTCATATCTCTCTATGCGGTTAATGTTAAGGGTATGTTAGTAATTTCCCCTTTTTTTGTCTTGATTGAAACATATTTAATTGATGGTTAGAAAAAGATTTATGTTCCATGATTTTAGTCATTTTTCTTTTTTGGTCTTGATTGAAACATATTTGATTGACTGTTACAACTAAGCAATTTCATAAAAACATGTTTTCATAACAATATAATGAAATAATGCATGTGTTTATAAGTGAACCATAATGTGTTCATAGGTGTAAATTTGTGCATAACTAAACTTGCATAAAGAAATCATTTGTTGACTGTTGACACAATGATTAATGTTTAGTATAGACTTTAACCAGAATAGTGTTCATTGAGGTGGTCACTGATGGACGATAGCTCACTATCTCTATTAAAAGTAATATATTTATCGGTGGACCATGAATACATTTATCAAAAACCATGAACACGTTTATCAAAAACCATGAACCATGAATATTTGTTCACTCATGAACGGTCTTTCAAACATGAATTGACATAAGGATGTTCATAAAAGCTTGTTGATATAATACTTATATAAGTTTAAGAATGTTTCATGAGTGAACAAATTGAATCTCATATCATTAAAATCTTTTCCCAAAATACCCCTTGTAAACATTGTTCACTTATGTTACCTTGCCGCTTTGTGCAATTAATTAAATTTTATGTCATGAGTGATCTCAACCATAAATTTCAAAGATCAATGGATGAGATAGGATCACAAAGTTAACATCATATATTGGATTAACAAATGAACTCACCTCTATATATAAGAAATAAAGAAAACTGAGTGTAACTAAAGAAGATTAATAGTCTAATTAATTTAATATTTGTTAATAATTACATCAAAAAAGACAAGAATTGAGAAAAATATAAAAATATATATACATATTTTTATATTCAAGTC